AAAACTATTTCATTCATTAGAAATCAAATGGAGACAAAGGCCACTTAATTTATAAGTTCTTAAAAATTTAATCTTAGATGTGATTCTCAAAACATCTAAGATTAATCCAAGTCTTAAACAGTTTAACAATGTTAGAAAAATTTATATTGATAAAACTGAAAAAAGAAAGGCTATTACATTGATGCATCTTTTAAGTAGCGTGAATTAATAATGTAAGTGTCAAGTTTTAAGACTTCAAGACTTTATAATATTTAATGCTATTTGATTTATAATATTGTATTGAGGATGGTCTAAATCTTGGTTTAAAAAATGTTTACTTTAGAATTTCTGTTAATTTTGTTATTAATATATATTTATACATGTTAATAATTTATATCAGCTCTGAATTAGCATTATTCGTTTCTGATTATGATATAAGAAACAGTTTGAAAATATTCATTCTTTGAAAATTTATTATTGAGTAATAAGTATTGATATAATAATTAATTATATCAATTATTATAATAATGATAATTTCTAAACTCTTTGAAATATCTAACATACATACATACATATGCACGCGCGAGTGTGTGGGGAGAGTGTGCGCGCGTGTACACATGTGTATGCGTACTATTGTGATAAAAAAATATTAGAATCAGCTCATTTAAACTGTGCATTTCGAACAAATATCAAACATATCGAAAAATTATTTTTTTTAGATTAGTTGGACTGTTTCTAACTTCTGCGTAAAATTTCACGTCATTATTTTCCATAGTCTACAAATAAATGTTTGTTTTATGACTGAAAAAAAGTATTTTCAGCGATTTTTAACATGTCAAATTTTATTGAGCAAAGAATTTACATAAAATTTTGTCTTCGAAATTTGTGTGCAGAAATAGTGGATATGTTTCGGTGAGTGTATATCAAAGATAAGGATTTTCGAATGGTATAAAATGCTCAAAGACGACAGAGAACGCGTCGAAGACGAAGAACTGCTGAATCAGTTCGAATTATCAATCGTCGATCACTAAGCATTAAATCCTTGATGTGATTTGATATTGCCCATTTGTTGAAGTGGAAGATTTTCCAGAACGATCTTCATTCGAAATGCGGTTTAAATGAGCAAGTTCTGATACTTTTTCATCACAGTAGTATACGAGTGTGTAAAAAGGGACGGCGAAATATCTCAAAAACTAAGCATTTTAAGAAAGTGTTTCAGATAAAAGTTGTAGGATTTCAAAAGATCTATTTACTAGTGCTATGAGTTTAACCTCGGATGACGTCGCCAAAGTCAGGGCAAGGTCTTGAGTTGATGTAAAGAAAATACATAATTGTTTTTCAAAAAGGATACGTTGCATATTGCAAATCTCCATTTTTTTTAACAGCAACCATGTATTTTCTTTACAATTGATTCATTTCATTATTCTGCGCACAAAAGTATTAAGATATAGTTGCCAAAAAATGAAATTTATGAGATATTTGATATTTTATGTCAAATTGCATATCAAATTCAACCCTTATAACTCAGAAAATACTCGCTAAAAAAATAATTTATTATAATGTTTTGAAGAGCTCTTCAGATCAGCGACAAAAATATGCAATAAAAAATAGGGAGTCCTATTTAAAAAATTCAAGGTAATTTTATCTTGACCTTGGCGATGCCATCCAAAGTAAAACTGATAGCGCCAGTAAATAGATCTTTCGAAATCCTACAACTTTTAACTGAAACACTTTCCTAAAATGCTTAATTTTCGAGATATTTTGCCGTCTCGATATATTTTTATACACTCTGTGTGTGTGTGTGTGTACATACATTGCATATACAATATATATATATATATATAT